GCCGCTCCCAGCCCTGCTTTGGCCGCCTGCCTGGATCTCCACCGGGACAGCCCCGCTGCCCCCGCCACACGCCCACATCTCCATGGGACAGCCCCAGTCCTGCTTTCGCCGCTTGCATCTCCGCGGGACAGCCCCGCTGCCCCCAGCCCTGCTTTCGCCACCCGCCCGGATCTCTGCGGCACAGCCCTGCCACTCCCAGCCCTGCTTTCGCCACCCACCCGGATCTCTGCGGCACAGCCCTGCCACTCCCCGCTCTGCTCTCCTCCCGGCAGCCATGCTGAGGCCCGGGCCGCAGCCCATAGTTTGGGAAACGCTGCTTTGAGGTATTGACCAAGTTTTGTACACGTTCTGTGAAGTGTCCTCAGCACACTTCAGGAGCTATTTACTATTAAATCAAAACTACTAAAGATGAAGAAGTCTCGGCATAAAAGCAATCTTTTGCTGCATGCCATTTCTGACTCTGACATATAAAACCCTAAAGACAATAATGCTTCAGGAAAATTGTACCGAAGTCATACAGTTTACTCTTTGATCCAAGTCACTCACCTGCCCCACAAGGAAAAAGCTTTGCTTTGCTATTAGCAAGAGCTGCCTGAATTGCATGGCGGCTATGTTTGAACTGAAGATTTGACTGCAACATTTTCACTTCCTGAACATGGAAACCATCTGGTAAAAATGAGATGTGCTGACACCTACAGTAGATAGGGGAAAATGAAAATCATGAAAGTCTGATCCTTCAGCAACCGCCGCTTAATGAAACAAAATAGACATAAGGAAATACTTTACCAAGAAACTTCTGTGTGATCTGTGGAACTCAGAGCCTCATGATATTGGTTTAACCAAAGAGCTTTGTAAAATCATGTCTATACTAGAAAAGTTCACGAATATAATTTCATTTTAAATTAAATTGACAAAACACCTAATGTAGACCATTTAAGATAAATCAAATAACCAAGCGTAAACATTTTGCATCAGTTGAATATCATTGGAGATCAAGCATCCATCACTTGCACTGAGTAGCCCTGTAGCACCTTAGAGACTAACAAAAATATATATCTAGTATCATGCACTTTCATGGGCAAAACCCACTTCCTCAAATGAGCAGAGTAGAGGAAGTGGGTTCTACCCACAAAAGCACAAAATACTGTATATATCTACAGGGCTTGCTGAGCCGCGGCGAGCTCCGCTCACCAGCCGCGCTGTCCAGTGTTCTGCGCATGCGCAGATCGCCCGAACCCAGCTCTTCTGGGATGTAATCTACTCGCCACGGGCAAGTAGATTACATAGATTGTCGAGCCCTGTATATTTATATACAAAGCTCGACAAATTTCAGCTGGTCGCCCTGTTCACCGGAGGCACGCGCATGCGCAATGCAGGTCTGGCGCATGCGCAGTGCGGGGCTGGTGAGTAGATTTTGCAGCAGTTTGTGAAACTCTATATGGTTAACTTATATATATATTTTGTTAGGCTCTAAGGTGCTACAGGACTACTCGTCGTTTTTAATATTACAGACTATTGCAGCTACCCCTCTGAGACCATTTGCACTAACAGACTATTCCACAATTTAATACAAACAACTTCCTAGTTAAGAATTATATTTCAGATCCCCAGAATAGAACCAGATATAAAGCAATTAAATTTTAAAAAGGTAAATTCATATTTCTTTACATCTCTGATGTCATAAGGTACAGGGCAAATGTGAAAAGATTTCCCCCCAGAATCCATGCCTGGTTCTTCATGCATTTTGTAAATTTCCCTGGACTGTCTGGCATACACAGAATGGAGCACAGTAACAGATGATATAATCTCAGATACACATACCTTGTAGTATATTATATTATTCCTGAGGGAATTCTGTGCCAAAACATATATGCACACAGTTTTAAAAATCTGTATCAGAATGTTGCTACATAAAAAAGCAAAATTAAGGTAGCATGGCCAACCTTAATTTTGGCATTTCCAAACTTTTGAGAGCTTGGTTTTGCAACTTTAAAGGTCTTAATGTGTTTTAAATGAAAATTCATAAAATTAATAAAAGAAAACTGAAGAAATTGAAATGTTCTCTCATAAAAATCACTGATCTCTGCTTGGACAATCAGCAGGTTCTAAGCCCAGGATATTTAAATCCATAGCACGGACCTCTGCCAATTAAATTAAAGGAGGAACTGATAACAGTAGTACACTTTCATCCTCTATGTTTAAAAAAAAAAAAAAGCCACATTATCAAATTCAGAAATAACCTTCTCTGGTTTTGCTGGAGAGCCGCTGTGGAAGCTCAGCATGTAGCTGTGTTCTCATAGCTTAAATGCAGGGCAGTGGGATAGGTTTGGAACCTAACAAAGAAACTCTAGATCAGTGGTCCCTAACGCAGTGCCCGCGGGCGCCATGGCACCCACCAGGGCATTTGTGTGTGACCGCTGAGTGACCAGGGCCGGCTCAAGCCATTCCTGCATCCCAGGCAGTGGGTGCATGGCGCATGCGCGGCCCCGCCCTCTGGCACGCTGTGCACCTTACAACTGCAATCGGGCGCGTGGCACCTGATGGCAGCTCTAAGGGGCGCTATGTGGCCGGGCGCGCGGTGCCCCTTACAGCTGCCATCAGGCACCCCCCATAGGTTGGTGCCCCGAGCAGCTGCTCGGCTAGCCCACCCCCTTAATCCGGCCCTGCGCGCAGCGCATGCGCAGCCCCACCCCCAGGCGCCTGGCAGCCCCAAAAGATTGAGGACCACTGCCCTCAACGGTCTGAAGAGTTAAAAAGGGATTTAAAACAATCTGACTAAAACTCGCTCTCAACCTGACACACAATATCACTGGATCTACAGTCCAGGATAGACAAATTCTGATTTTCAAATTCCAAAAACATGCAGAAAAATAATCTTTATTTTAATAAAATTATTGCTGGCCCTTTTTTGTACCTCATGAAACAAAAATGTGCAAACCCAATATTACTCGTTGTAGGTCCCTTTTAAGAAAGGGGCCAGAGCGACAAATTTGAGAGCACTGAGCGCAACATCAGAAAAAAAGGAACTACTATTGGAATAGTCCATCGTGGGAAAAGGGAGGAGAACTAGAGGAACGATCAAAGGAATAGGAGGCCATTCTCCTGCAGGACTGCATAAAGACAGGGCTAACACTTGATCAAAGGATTAAGAACAGCAACAGTTAGAAACCCGAGAAGTGTTTCTGGGAAGACACCAAACTCTCACAATTGATCTTTCACGAGCCAGGTCCCTCTTAGCCACACAAGGCTGCTTCCTCACTTGGATCTCTGCTGCAAACTTTCTAATGCCCATGTCCCTACATCACACAGACAGACATTGCTCTCTACAACTCAGACTTGGTAGAATCTTCTGTAGGTCACATACCTTTCAATAACTGCTCTCCGCAGGACCTCTTGGCTATATGGGCATTTCCCCACTACTATCGCTGAGAGATACACCGGGTGCTGTAAGAAATGCATCAAGAGGGCTCCCTGACATCCCAATACATTCCAGCGAGCTAATTTATCGCTGCAGGACATGGAGCAGGTCCTGTCTCCACGGCCTGGCTTTACTCGTAGTAACCCAACACAATGATACTCGGCTCCAGGTCTCTGAGCATCAGCCCCCTCGCCCAGAACACACTTTGCTCCAGTTCTATAAACATCCATCACTTTGGTTCTTGTCAGTCCAGTCTCCTTGGTCCCCACTGAGCATTCTTTTTGATCATCTGTAACAAACTCTGTGTCTTGTAAGTTCTGCCGACTGTCAAGAACGTGCTGAGCAGCTACTCCCTCAGTGACCTCGCATGTAGAATCACCCACCGCTGTTCTCAGTTTCTTGATCACATGATCACTTGCAGTTTCCTCTGTTTTCCTTTTATGTTCTGGACCCACAGGATCACAGCTGCCCTGGCACTCTGCTGAATGCCCTGTTGGATCTTTTCCACCAACCAGCTCACAAGGCTGGTTCTCTGGTTTGGTCATTGGAATAATGGAGGCATCCCCACCTAGAAGAAAGGAAGCTACATTGGCAGAAATCTCTTTCTAAGGCAATGCTGGTCTTGGCCGTTTGATGCAGACCCCATCACAGACAAGGCAATCGCCACACATTTCTAAAGTTTTGAACTTCAAAATAAATTACCTCAAGTGCCAGGGAGAATAAGCACTTCAAAGGACTCTGCACTGTACTGTACTTTAGTTACACATGAATGAGACTTCAGACCTGGCTTACATGTCATTCAAAGAACCCGCACACTCCTCCAGCAAAGGACCTCACCCCTATCCTGAAGGGACAAATGTTCCTTTGCTGTTCTATTCAGTAGCACACACAAAACTTTGTTAACTATGGTTAAGATTGCAAGTGCTCACTACTGCTCTTTGCTTCTCACGCCCTTCCACAATGGGAGATTTTCAGTTCCCAAAACTCAACCTTTAACCAACCAGGAAATGAGGATTAAAGTCCCCTTACGAGAAGGTTAATATTACAAGAAACAAAAAGTTGGAAAAAGCTGGGACAAAGTTTTTAAAAATCTTACCTTAAAACTAATTACTCAAAGTGTTGAAAATACTAAATTTACTGTTACACCAATGAGGAAAATATAAGTTTCTGACTCAGTGATCTGTACCTCTGGAGAGGAACAGATGAAGTCACTTGTGCAACTGGATAAACGTTAACCATAAGTGATAAGCGTGGGCTTACTGGTTACCAGGAACGGTTACACACAGGCTCCCACCCTGTGCTGCTGGCTCCGTATCAGAGCCTGCAGCGGTGTCCAGCAGCCAGCTTCCTGGGTGTGAAGCAGGAGCCGGTACATGCGGCTGCCTCCATATCTGATACAAGTGATTAGCATTCAGTGATTAATTTCAGCAGTTATCTGACACAGCATGCTTGAAGTTGAAAAGACAGGAAACAAGCAACACAAACATAAATTCTAAAGTAAAATATCAGCATCAAGAGCTAAATATCAAGAAAAGGAAACATCTGTACTCATCTCAGAAATGCAATCTTTCCCCCTATATTTGCTAACAATATCACCTTCAGCAAAGCAAAAGAAAAAAAAATACAGATCCTGGACTCCAGAAAAGCAGACCGTGACTCCCTCAGGGAACGCATGGGCAGGATTTCCTGGGATGCCAATATGAAGGGGAAAGAAGTCCAGGAGAGCCGGCAGTATTTTAAAGAAGCCTTATTGAAGGCACAAAAACAAACCAACCCAACATGAAGTTAGAAAAGCAAATATGGTTGGCCAGGTATGGCCACCCTGAGCAGGAGCCACAGTTTACCAATGTACATTGCCAAAGAGCTACAGTAACTTGTCAGCAGTCCCCACTAGGTGCCTCCTCTTCCTTCCCCATGCCTCCTGCCCATTGACACGGGGGGGGGGGGAAGGAGTGAGGGTGCAATACGCTTGGAGAGGATGAGCAGCAGCAGCAGCAGCCAGGAGTTGAGCACTGGAAAGTTGGTACCTGTAGCTGCAACCCCGGAGTCAGTGCCTGAGCAAGAAGCCGCATATTAACTTCAGAAGAGCAACAGGCTGGCCACCCCTGTGGGTAGGCGACCAGCTTGGCTTAGCAGTGAAATCCTTGGTGAGTTTAAACACAAAAGGGAAGCTTACAAGAAATGGAAAATTGGACAGATGACTAGGGAGGAGAATAAATATATTGCTTGAGAATGCAGGGGTGTAACCATGAAGCTGAAAGCGCAATTGGAATTGCAGCTGGCAAAGGATGTGAAGGGCAACAAGAAAGGTTTCTACAGGCATGTTGGCAATAAGAGGGTGATTGCGGAGGGTGTGGGATCCTTACTGGATTAGGGAGGTAACCTAGTGACAGATGATGTGGGAAAAGCTGCAATACTCAATGGCTATGTCTACACTGGCATGATTTTCCGAAAATGCTTTTAACGGAAAACTTTTCCGTTAAAAGCATTTTCGGAAAAGCGCGTCTAGATTGGCAGGATGCTTTTCCGCAAAAGCACTTTTTGCGGAAAAGCGACCGTGGCCAATCTAGACGCGGTTTTCTGCAAAAAAGCCCCGATCGCCATTTTCACGATCGGTGCTTTTTTGCGGAAAACACTACTGTGCTGTTTACACTGGCCCTTTTGCACAACAGTGTTTCGGAAAAAGACTTTTGCCCAAACGGGAGCAGCATAGTATTTCCGGAAAAGCACTGAATCTTACATGAGATCGTCAGTGCTTTTCCGGAAATTCAAGCGGCCAGTGTAGACAGCTGGCAAGTTTTTTTTGCGGAAAAACTTGCCAGTCTAGACACAGCCAATGGTTTTTTGCCTCTGTCTTCATGGACACAGTCAGCTCCCAGACTGCTGCACTAGGCAGCACAGTATGGGGAGGATGTGGGCAGCCCACATTGGGGAAAGAACAAGTTAAGAACTATTTAGAAAAGCTGGACACGCACACCTCCATGGGGCCTGATCTCATGCATCCGAGGGTGCTGATGTGACTGCAGAGCAATAAGAGGGTGATTATTGCCAGTATCTCTGAAAACTCCTGGCGATCGGGAGAGGTCCAAGACTATTGGAAAAAGGCAAATGTAGTGCCCATCTTTTAAAAAGTGAAGGACAATCTAGGGAACTACAGAGCAGTCAGCTTCATCTCAGTCCCCGGAAAAATCATGGAGAGGATCCTCAAGGAATCCATTCTGAAGGACTTGGAAGAAGGGAAAGTGATCAGAAACAGTCAACATGGATTCACCAAGGGCAAGTCCTGCCTGACCAGCCTAACTGCCATCTATGACAAGGTAAATGGCTCTGTGAATATGGGGAAAGTGGTGGACTAGGGATGTTAAATTGTGGATAATCAGCTAATCGAGTAGTCAATGGAATTTTCATCGACTACTCGATTAGTCGATAAGGGACGCTCATCGTGCCTGCTGCGGCTCTGCAGTTTAAATGAACCCAATGGGCTCTTACTACATTCAAAATGCAGAGCTGCAGCAGCCCCAGGGGCAGCACGAGCTGGGACTGGAAGCTCACCCTGCTGCAGCTTTGCACATTTAAACTGCAGAGCCACGGCGGGGGTAGCTCCTGGAGCCGGCATGAGCCAGGACTTAGCAGTCCCCACTCCTCCTGGCTCCAGGACCTCTGCAGCTCTGCCTCACCTGCCGCCCTCCCTCCAGCACTGCGGAGCCGTGTTGGGGGGAACTGGCTTTTAAACCAGCTCTCCCTAGCATTGGCTCTTGCTTCCCCACCCTTACTGCCTGTGACACAGAGGCAGCAAGGGGGAAGGAGCAAGTAGTCGACTCAACTACCCGATAAGCATAGGCTTATCAGGTAGTCAACTACTCCCTTACATCCTTCCAGTGGACAGGATATATCCTGGCTTTAGCAAAGCTTTTGATACGGTGTCCCACAGTATTCTTGCCAGGGTGGATAGAAGGCTGGCTAGACTGTCGGGCCCAACAGGTAGTGATAAATGAACATAAGAACAGCCGTACTGGGTCAGACCAAAGTTCCAGCTAGCCCTATATCCTGTCTGCGAACAGAAGCCAATACCAGATGCTGAACAGAACAGGTAATCAAGTGGTCCCTCTCCTGTCATCCATTTCTAGCCTCTGACAAACAGAGGCTAGGGACACCATTCCTACTGTAAGGACGGTCACATGGATAGGGAGCTGGGATCAATGAGGAGTGATCAACAGCTTGATGTCTGATTGGTGGTTGGTTTCAAGCAGAGTATCCCAAGGGCCTGACAGATCACAGAACGAGGAGCAATGGTCTCAAGTTGTGGTGGGGGAGGTCCAGATTGGAGATGAGGAAAAACTTTTTCCCTAGGAGAGTGGGAAGCACTAGGCTGGGTTCCCTGGGGAAGGGGTGGAATCTCCATCCCTGGAGGTGTGTAAGTCCCTGGCTGGAATGAAAAAGTGAGTCCATAAAGCAGGCCCAGGGGCTGGATGGTGCTCCAGCCCCCTGATGAAGCTGGAACACACAGTCTCCTAGCCTGGGCCCTCCCAAGGCTCTGGTGTGAGGAGAATGTGGAGAAAGTCTCCTTCTCAGTCAGGGGCTGCCTCAGTGAGGGTTTGGGGGTTTATTGAGGATTTTCTTTTGGTTTTGCTTCTCACTTGTGTGCGGGCCCTCAGCTGATTTTTCTGTGGGTCAGCTGCCCCTGACCCAAAACAAGATACCCGCCCCGCCATAAAAAAAGGGAATAAAAGCATTATGCACTTGATGACCTCCTCTAGACATGTACACTACTAGACGTAAATGAAGAAACAGAGGAAAATATAAACATCAGTTCCCACAGAAATCAAGATCAAAACTTAATGCTAGATGAGAAATGATCGGATAATATCTGTGCACATCTATACAGGAGAGCTTGCATTCTTCAAAGCTAAAGATCTTGTAGCTGAATCCCACCTCCTCACAAAACATTGCATCTAAGGTGCTCAACATACCCTCCCCCCCAAAAAATGCAGCAAGAATAATGACAAGATCTTCACCATTTCTTAGAAGAAACAAAAATGGAAAACTTTAGAAAATGCTCGGCTTCAATCACCTCAGATCTGGCATTAGTGCTCTGCAACTACTGAACCCTCGTGGAGAGAGCAGTTACATCAATGGCATGATTAGCAGATTTACTCCAGCTCCACAATACACAGTGGAACTCTCAGGAAGACTGTGCGTCTCCATCTGTTTTCAGATACCATGAGAGTGTTGCAATTTGTACTGAACAGAGCAGAGACAGACCAAAACAACAACATTCAATTACAAAAACAACAAGAGGGGGTAATGGCAGATTGTAAACCAATGACAGTATTATCGCAATCTTAGAGGAATCTGATTTGATCTAATTAACAAAGAAATGAAACCGCACAAGAAGATAATAAAATAATGAAAAATACATGAGTAATGGAACCTTTCTACTGCTTATCTTAAATGACTAATCCCCCCCAAACCTCAGGGTGATGCTGTACAGCAGGGCTGGCAAACCTGTCGCCCCCTGGCTTGCTTTGATTCAGCCCACAGCCAAGGCCTGATTAAGAAAGAGGCTTTAAGGGCTGCAGCCCCTAAAGCCTTTGTGTTCCAACCCAGCCCTTCCTGACAGGACTGGGAGGCATAGGACTCAGCCAGGAACACGTGGGCTAACCCAGGAGAAGCTCTGTCCCCCACACTGCCCTCACCTGCAGCTCTCAGTGGCTGCAATCCTAAAGGTGGAGAGGGGCAATGCCTGCAGATGAGCATGGAGCCATTCTTCCCCTCACCACCACCAAACAGGAGCTGCCCCAGGTAAGGGCCCTGCATCCCCACCCTCTGCCCTGAGCCTCCTCCAGCATCCTAACTCCCTCCCAGTCCCCATAGCTCGACCCTCTGCCTCAGCCCTGAGCCCCCTCCTGTATCCCAAATGCCTCATCCCCAGTCCCATCCCCCAGCCCAGTTGAAAACCTCACCCCCTCCCACACCCACCTCTACCTGCAGTCCCCTCCCACACACTGAACCCCTCATTTTTGGCCCCACTGTGGAGCCTAGAAGCCCAGAAAAGTTAATCCAGCCCCACCTGCAGTACATTGTGAGGTGATGAGGTGTCTTTCCCCCACACTTCTCCCTCCCCCCAATCCCTTTGGGTCCTTGTCAGTGAGGGGGGGGTGTTGTTTTTTGCTTCTTACTTGTGTGCCCCCCCCCAACTGATTTATCTGTGGGTCAGTGGCACCCATTCAAAGGTTTCCCACCCCTTCTGTACAGAATATGGAGACAGTATTATTATCAGTATAAAATTCTAATGAATCATGCCAGTGTAACCAGACAGAACCCCCCCCAACCCGACATCCTTGGAAGAGAGAATTCTTGAGAGCGAAACTCTGTCTTCAAAGGCTCCAGGGCCTCCAGAGGTGCTAGAATAACAATGGCCCTGGATGCTAGACAAGAACCAGATAACGACAATTGGGCCAGCAGGTGATCGGGGCCTCGGGCTGCCCTTGTTGGTACCAGTAATTGATACGCCTGCACACTGTCCCAGAAGAGGAATCTGCCGTCCCATCGGAAAAGAAGACAAGAACCAGATAACGACAATTGGGCCAGCAGGTGATCGGGGCCTCGGGCTGCCCTTGTTGGTACCAGTAATTGATACGCCTGCACACTGTCCCAGAAGAGGAATCTGCCGTCCCATCGGAAAAGAATGCCCTAATGATTTAGTTACCTCCACCTCACAGGTGCAAATTAAGCTTCGGACCCCCTGTGGAAATGGGCGTCACAAAGACGGTCCAACTTAATTGGCATTTTAATGACAAGAGAAGCGTCTACGTGACCACAGGGGTATAAAGTGGGGCCCTGTGCCCCACTCTAATTAGAGATCCACCCATACACCTGCTGGTCAGGCGGTCTTGAACACCCGAGACTTTAGGGACGCCTTCGTCTCGTATTGACTGCTTCCCATTGGGATTGAGAGGAACCTGGCTTAGCCAGAGTAAGGATTGCAGGGGTAAGAACATACCTGCTAGGTGTCTGGGTTTTTTGCGCGCATTTAATAAGAGCTCAGAGAACCAAAAGGGTTTCATGGTACCTGTAAGTGACTGTTTAGTGTAATTTCTGTCTTACACAGCCACTACAAAAAGGATATTTGTAACACAACAGTAACATTTAACAGCTAAGCTTGCCTTGTAACAATAAAATAGTAACTGTTTAAGCTTTGACCTGACTCCTTCAGTTGCTGTAACAGAACCAGACACAATCAAAAGAACATAGCCAGTCAGGGGTAGACGCAGTGAGAGTTCAGCATTGGGGCTCTGCCGCCTCCACGGGGCAGACCCTTGGGGCACCCATCAGCCTCCCCGGCTGCCCGCTGCGAAGGGACCCCATCCTAGCAGTTGAAGACTCAGGTGTTTAATAGGGCTCACAGACCACTCACTGCCCCGACCACCGGCTAACAGCCAGACATGCCATGTAAGGCATCAGTAAAAATGTTACGATTTGCCAAGACAGATCATCTCATTTATATATTTGTAACACCTCTGTACCATGTTATAGGTACTTATGGTATAGCTGTATTTCCAAACTTATGCTGTGTTTCTGGCTGAAACCCCACACAGATTGGCATCAGCACTGTCTGGCCTGTTTGATGGCCCACCAAAGGTCATCAGCTGCACAATGAAATTATTGAAAAGAGCAAGGGGATACAACGTATGAATCAGCAGGGTGGTGGACAGGAACTCTAACACTTTTCCATGCAATATGCTGTAAAGCTTGTGTTTAAGACACAGGAAGTACAAGCCTGTTGGCAAAAGGAATATAAAGGACAGCGCTACCTTCTCTACTTCTTCTTCGATCCTGCTTCGTACATCTGGAGCAATTCTTCCACAAACTGAAGCCTCTGAACAATGGACTGACAGACTCATCCAAGCTGTGGCTATGTTTCAGAGGGACTTTCAAGCCAGCAAACTTACCAATATTACTAACAATCTGGTACCCCTGCAATCCTTATTCTGGTACTGACTTTGAAATATCTGTGTGTGTGACTGCTTTACCGCTTAACTCCTCCTCTTGTCCTTTTCTTATAAACTTTTAATTTCAGACACTAAAGAACTGGCTGCCAACATGGTATTTTGGGTAAAAGTCAAACTAATATTGACTACCCCCTGAGCTGGCCTTTTGGGGTGACAAGAGCATTTTGTATAGCAAGCAATATTTTAAAATAATTTCTCACTGTACTGGACATATGTGATTAGGAGCTAGAGACCAGGAAGGCAATAAAAAGAGCAGTTTGCGTTCTTTTTTAGCTTCTTGATAACCCGTGGCAGAGCAGGGGAGAAATTAGGAGCACAATTTGTAACTGGCTGGTGAGTCTAACTTCAGTGTTAACCACAACTATTTTCCTTTTCCCAGCCAGCCCTGACCTTGGCATTCTTAGTGAAGGCACACCTAACACAGGAAGGGGCTGATAGATAGCTGACAGCGCACAGTCCTAATGTACCCTTTTTTCTCTTCCCACACTTACATTTGAAGATCCAGATTCCTGTCCTACATCTATGCTAGTGAAGGCTGTATCAGTCTGTCCCATCAAAATGGTGCAAAATCAGGTATCAATTCTGTTTGCTATTTTTAGAAAGTCTTTATTCTTGCAATTCACTTATAGAATTGCAACACTGTCATTTTGGATGCTGCATCTTTTTATGTTGGCAAAATAAATCTGCCATGAAGCGAGTCACAGAACATGTGTTTTGGATTTCATTTAATTAAAAAAAATTCAGTTTGGGGATTTTTTGTGATGGGGGAATAATTATTTTACACAAACAGATTATAATAAATGTACCTGAGCTCCCCATGAGAAGTGAGTATGCAGGTAAAGCAAAACGAAGAAAATGAAAGACTTAGTATGATAGGACCACTGTTAGTTCTGGGGCAAGAAAATGGTAACCCACATCTTTTCTAACCAGGGGAGACTGGAGCACTTGTATATACTGGCGTAGGGAGGGGACTGACTTATACATATGCTCCCTTCTCACATCAATATACCCAATACGGTAGAAAGTGCAGCATGCCAATTTGCTGGGCCAATGCTGTTTCACTGCATGTGTTACTGATATGAATGGAGGCTGGCTTACCCTCACTAACCCATAGTTGAGGTAGCTGGCTCAGATGCACCAGGCAGGGATGAGAGTGAGGTGTTGACTCTAATGTACTTACATGGGGTATGACTGCAGAAAAAAATAAAGGTGATGTGTGGTCTGAGTTTCCATGTCCCACTCTCAGTGCCTGGGCTGAAGATGCTGCCCTGTTGGTATGAGGCTGCAAGCCGCAGCTGGTGGATGAGATATCTGGAGGACAAAAAAGGATTACTGAGAATCCCTTAACTTGGGACATAGGAACAAGTAAAGATTTAATTCAATCAGGGCCCACAAATAAAGCCCTGTGCTGAGACAAAATTCTAATCTGCATGCAATTTGCAAAACTGATCCATGAATATCCACATATTTGCAGTAAGTTAGATGTAAAATGTGGATCTACATCCATCAGCAAGGATACATAGAAGCTTCATAGTGAGCCCAAAGAACATGGATTAAGCCCCATCTGAAGAGTTATTTTTTCAAAGCCTGTATACATCAGGCAGAAAGAAGTCAGGGTGTGTAGGACAGGAGACAAACCCCAAAAGGGAAAAAACAGGCCTGTGCACAAGACAGAAACATACTGCCCAGGGAAGGAACATGAGAGGTGCTAGCCTCTCCCATGCTCTTCTTACATAGCTTAGCTCCTTGGACAAGGGAAAGGGGCTGTATTCCAAGTGCAGGAAACATTCATCTATGTCGTAATAGTGTAAACATCCTGAAAGACGTAGACATAAGCAAACAGCCCACTGAACAGCACAAGCGGTTTAATGTCTCACCTCTGGAAACTCCTCTTGGCAATGACTTCAGCATGACTGTCATTGAGAATATCCCCTGCAGCAGCACCCAAAAAAAAATTAAATAACCCCAACATTACTGTAAAGTCACATGCAACACGAAGAGCATCATCTAAGGAGGCAGACTTGTGTGCTGTGCCAGCCCTGCCCCTGCATTTTGTAGGCCTGACACTAGTACTTGTGCAGCTGTCTGAACTAAGCCATCCTAAGACATCTGAACAACCCAGACACCATAAATGCTCACTGTCACACTCCTGTGCCATGGTGCAGTCTTGCTGCACGACCAACGCAGAGGACCACTGCTTAAAGCCAGCCCTCTTTGGGCTATGATCCAGCCAGATCCTACAAGGTGAACAGGGCTGGGACAGCAGCTGAATTGGAACCTCTAATGATCTCATTCCACAGCATTCAAAGCAGGCATGTTTCAGTGATGGAGAGGATATGAGCATGCACATTGGAAAGCAAAGAATGTATTCACCATACCAGAGGTGGGCCCACTGGAAATGAACTTCCCAAAGCATTTAGGGTGGCAGAGCAGTATGTTCAGTGAGCTCCTTAACTGCCCCCCCCTCAACACACTTTTTAAAAAATATCTGCCCATGGATAAGATGCTAAGAAACAGCAGTTCAGGCAAAAGTCAAGGCATTCTCAGAGTCAAAGCTTCAGGATGGTTTTAAAAGCGCAGAAGCTGGTTGAATCATCTTTTAGCAACATAAACAGAAGTTAGTTACCTCTAACGTTAGAGGAGGTAACATTCAGTGTTGACAGGTTTAAATGCATCAGGAGACAATGAAAACTGGTGATATGAAATTTGATGACCCCCTTTCAATGCACTAACGGCTGCTAAGGGAACTGGGACGTATTTACTGGATTGATAACTGAAATATTTACTGAATTTGAATTTTAGCCTGTTACAAGTCAATTTTCTTCTAATTAAGGTGGTGAGAAGAAACTTTGTGTCTGATTCAGAGGATGATGACTCGTCTCCAAAACTTCAATCGTAGCACGTTTTAAACCATCAGAAAGTTTCCACCCCTTTTTAGGAACTGAGAACTGCTGGAAATATTAATGCACAAAAACAAATCTTAGTTACTACAAATGTAACAGTGAAATATCTATAGCTGAATATAATTCATTTCCTGTTTCAGATTCAACATTTTAAATATTTACGGGTATTTCCAAAGTGCAACAGACCCAGAGTCGATCTAGTCCAGTATTCTCTCTCAGTGGCCAAAACTTGCTGTTTCAGATGAAGGCACAAGAATCCAGCCGTGGACAAATATGGGTAACCTCTCCCCTACATAGATCTCATCCAGGTCTCTTCTAGTTAGTGACTGTCTTACAGCCTGAACCACAAAGGCACCATTAATTTTAGAATACGACCTTTGGATAGGTCTTGGTATTCATATAGATATTCAATCCCTTTTTAAATCTAAACTTCTTAACTTTAAGTGACTTTCTGCCACACCAACTTCCACAGTGTAATCACATGTTGCGTGAAAGTGTTTCTTTCCATCAGTTATTAATTTCCAACCTTTTGATTTCATTGAATGTCCCTTTATTCTTGTTGAAGACAGGTGAAACAAGCGTCTGCTCTACCTTGCATAGACCATTCACTATTTTATGTACTTTTATCATGATCCCTCTTAATTATCTCCTCTCTAAGGTAAACATTTCCAAATTTCTCAGTCTCTCTTCATGTGGCTTTTCCAGGGCCTTCATCATTCTTGCTCTTCTCTAACCCACCTCTTCTGAAATAATTGTTTTTGAGACTGAGGGCGGGAGGATGGCCCAGTACTGCACAGGTCGCAACACTAATTTATAGAAAGACTGTTTTAAGCATTCTTCATGCCATTCCTCATGCAGCCTAAGCTCATGTGTTTTTCTGATGCAGAGATCTCTATGAAGAAGTCTACAGTGATTAGGGATGTTAATCAAATAACGGGGTAAAAGTGGTTACCCGCTCTGCTGGCACTGCGGTATAAAGCTTAGCTTTCCACTATAGAGTCTGCAGCAAAGCCTCCTTGGGAGCAAGGACCAGCTCTTGCCCACCCAGCTCAGAAGGAGGAGGCTTCAGTGAGGGTAACCAATACTGTTTACTGATAGGCATCCCCTTTTCAGTTAAAAGGTTAGCCATTTATACTCAAACATCCCTAATAGTAATCCCCAGATAGCTCCACATTTTGCTACCTCAGTACTCACCTAGTTTTGAGATGGGACCTAGTACAGAATCTTGAGGCTCCACTGTTCATCTTTTTCCATGATCAAAGATGACCATTTAGGTCATTTTCCTTTTTGTCTCCTAGACAGCATTTGATCTAAGACAATACTTTGCCTCTCACATCATGACTACTTAAGTTTCTTTAATAGCAACTGCCCACTGGTCAGTGAGGAGGGAGAAAAAGTAACAAGAAACTTGGAAATAGCAGAGATGCTCAATGACTTATTTGTTTCGGTCTTCACCGAGAAGTCTGAAGGAATGCCTAACATAGTGAATGCTAGTGGGAAGGGGGTAATTTTAGAAGGTAAAATAAAAAAAGAACAAGTTAAAAATCACCTAGAAAAGTTAGATGCCTGCAATTCACCAGGGCCTGATGAAATGCATCCTAGAATACTCAAGGAGCTGATAGAGGAGGTATCTGAGCCTCTAGCTATCATCTTTGGAAAATCATGGGAGACAGGAGAGATTCCAGAAGACTGGAAAAGGGCAAATATAGTGCCCATCTATAAAAAGGGAAATAAGAACAACCAAGGAAACTACAGACCAGTTAGTTTAACATCTGTGCCAGGGAAGATAATGGAGCAAGTAATTAAGGAATTCATCTGTAAACACTTGGAAAGTGGCAAGGTGATAGAGAACAGCCAGCATGGATTTGTAAAGAACAAATCATGTCAAACCAATCTGATAGCTTTCTGTAATAGGATAACGAGTCTTGTGGATAAGGGAGAAGCGGTGGATGTGGTATACCTAGACTTCAGTAAGGCATTTGATACGGTCTCACATACAGGTCTGTTTTGGGACTGGCTCTGTTCAATATCTTCATCAACAATTTAGATATTGGTATAGAAAGTACACTTATCAAGTTTGCAGATGATACCAAGCTGGGAGGGGTTGCAACTGCTCTGCAGGATAGGGTCATAATTCAAAATGACCTGGACAAATTGGAGAAATGGTCTGAGGTTAAACAGGATGAAGTTTAATAAAGACAAATGCAAAGTGCTCCACTTAGGAAGGAACAATCAGTTTCATTCTTACAGAATGGGAAGCGACTGTTTGGAAAGGAGTACCGCAGAAAGGGATCTAGGGGTTATAGTGGACTACAAGTTGAATATGAGTCAGCAGTGTGATGCTGTTGCAAAGAAAGCAAACATGATTCTGGGATGCATTAACAGGTGTGTTGTGAGTAAGACATGAGAAGTCATTCTTCCACTCTACTCTGCACTGGTTAGGCCTCAATTGGAGTATTGTGTTCAGTTCTGGGCACTGCATTTCAAGAAGGATGTGGAGAAATTGGAGAGGGTCCCAAGAAGAGCAACAAGAATGATTAAAGGTCTAGAGAACATGACCTATGAGGGAAGGCTGAAGGGATTGGGTTTGTTTAGAAAAGAGAAGATTGAGGGGGAACATGATAGCAGTTTTCAGATACCTAAAAGGGTGTCATAAGGAGGAGGGAGAAAACTTATTCATCTTGGCCTCTGGGGACAGAACAAGAAGCAATGGACTTAAACTGCAGCAAGAGAGGTTTAGGTTGGACATTCGGAAAAAGTTCCTAACTGTCAGGGTAGTCAAACACTGGAACAAATTGCCCAGGGAGGTTGTGGAATCTCCATCTCTGGAGATATTTAAGAGTAGGTTAGATAAATGTCTATCGGGGTGGTCTAGACAGTATTTGGTCCTGCCACGGGGGTAGGGGACTGGACTCGACGACCTCTCAAGGTCCCTTCCAGTCCAGTATTCTATCTTTTGAAAGGCTAAATGCATTAGGCCAACCATTTATCTTCTATCCAATATTTTACTGACAAGTTAAAAGAATTCTAAGAAATTAAATAATTGTCCTCTGCAGAATCCTAATATGATCCTCCCGATGTTTTCTCAATTCTCTTTTTAAATTTTTGATTCAACTAATATGGGAGTTACAGATAAAGTTAATTAGTCTAAATTTCCCCAAATCAATATGTAGAACCTTTTCAAAACAGAGTACAAGACTTACTACTCTCCAAGTCTATTGAACAGTAGCTATTTAAAATGAAAGATTTCATATTTTTGTGACCAATTCACATACTTCATATTGGAGCTCCTTCAGAACTTGATGATGGGCCATCTGGGTCTGGTGACTGTGCGCATTTAGTATCACTGATTTGCTTTAGCATTTATTCTCCTACCATCTCAAGAGATGAGACTACCTTCTGTTTGTTACCAGGAAACAGCAGGTGTGAGTTAAGAATTTCCCTTCTTATGAAGACTGATACAAAGAAATAATGTAGCTTCTCAAATGTCCTTGCCAATCACAAGCACTATCATAATGCATTTTACTGTAATCCCATGCATTTTATTAAATTATTAAACTTAAATATCACAAAATGCATAAACATTCTGGCTATCTTTTTTCTTTAGATGTACAGACTTTTGAGATTGCTAATAGCACCAAAGAACCTTTCCCTATTCTCTTAATAGATCTGTCAGGGTACCAATGCTACCTGAGATGATTAAAGCAAAATTTAATCTTAAAATCCAGTTGATTTTTCACCTGTGACATTCCTTCATAGAATCATAGATTAGAGTTGAAAAAGACCTCAGGAAGGCATCTTGTCCAACCCTCTGCTAAAAGCAAGACCAATCCCAACTAAATCCCAGCCAGTGCTTTGTCAAGCCACGATTCAAAAACCTCTAGGGATGGAAATTTTTTTCCACCTCACCAGCCCAGTGCTTCACCACCAACCGAGTGAAGTACTTTTTCCTAATATCTAACCTAGACCTCTCCCACTGCATCTTGAGACCATTGCCCCTCGTTCTGTCATCTGTCACCACTAAGAACAGCCTCTCTCCATCCTCTTTGGAACCCCTCTTCAGGTATGTGAAAGGCTATCAAATACCCCTTAATTCTCCTGCAGACTAAATGAGCCCAGTTCCCTCAGCCTCTCCTCATAAGTATGTGCCCCAGCCTCCTAATAATTTTGTTGCCTGCCCCCGGACTCTCCAATTTATTCTCATCCTTTCTGCAGTGTGGGGCCCAAAACTGGATTCAGTACTCCAGATGTGGCCTCACCAGTCCTGAATCGAGGGAAGTGATTATTCCCTTCTATCTGCTGGCAATGCAATTAATACAACTCAGTATTCAATATGTAGCATTCTTGGCAACAAGGGCACGTTATTGATGCATATCTAGCTTCTTATCTACTGTAATCTTTAAGTCTTATTTAACTAAAAATTAAATGATTGAAAAAAAAAGCTATTCAAGTTCACTCGTGTGGGGAATTTCACTCTATAGATCATACAAGATTTCATCATTGTGGCTGCAATCAAGGCAATAAAAGGTTTTTAACTGTATTTAAACAATAATTAAATCATGAAAATATCCATATTAATATTACATTGTGATGGTGCTGACTCCAGAAAGACCCATAATGAATAATCCAAGATACAGCATTTTGTGCAAAGCAAAAAATAAAGAGATTCTAAAAGGTGTTTATATACAAAATGCACTATAGAGCACAGAAACAGTTTTGCCCACATTTCAAGAAAGATGTGGAGAAATTGGAGAAGGTCCAGAGAAGAGCCACAAAAATGATTAAAGGACTACAAAATATGAGCTATAAGGCAAAGCTGAAGGAATTAGGCTTGTTTAGTTTGGAAAGGAGAAGACAGAGGGGACATGATAACGGTTTTCAAGTATATAAAAGGGAGGAGAGGGGAACATTTTTCTCCTTGGCCTCTGATGATGGGACAAGAAGCAATGGGCTTAAACCACAACAGAGGAGGTTTAGGTTGGACATTAAGAAAAACTTCCTGTCAGGGTGGTTCAACACTGGAATAAATTGCCTACGGAGGTTGTGGAATCTCCTACACTATTCCTCTGCCCCCATCAATCTAAGATACACAAGTTCAGCTATACCAGTAGTGTAGCTGAAGTCGACATACTTTGACCTACTTACTGCAGTGCCTTCCATGCAGTAAGGTCAGCGGCTGATGCTCTCCCATTGACTCTGCCTACTCTTGTCGTCCTGATAAGAGTACTGAAGTCAAGAGGAGTGTGCTCAGAGGTCAATTTATCACGTCTAAGCAATCTCGATAAATCAGCAGCCGATGGATTGATCGCTGCAGCGTCAATCCACCATTTAGATGAGAAGTCCAAAGAGCCCTGTACTGAAAGACTTGTTTTGGCCACATCTCTTTCCCAGGTTACTTCCTGACATAAGTCTCTAGAGGTCTCTCCACAGCCCAAGGAGTTGCCAAGGTCAGTCTGGCCCTCCTCTGTTATGAATATGCATAGCAGAGAAAGAGACAAGACAAATAACTTTCCATAGCAGAGAAATCAGTGCAATATCTAGCTGCTGATTATACCTAAATAAGAGGTGTTTTCTCTCACTTTTCTAGAGCTTGGTTACTTGGTACACTGTTCCTATGGTGGTTTGCAGACTGGGCTCTGAAGGGATAAGACTAAACAAGATTTGCCTTTTATGTTATTTTTGTAAGCACCAGTACATTTGGGAGCTATACTACCCAACAATGTCCATTTATATGACTTTTGTCAGTTCCCCTTAAGGGCTTCAGATCATGGAAAATCAATGCAGCAAGCCTAGCTGGTAATGCTGTCCACTCAACTCTAGAGGGTGGGAAACTGTGGCTTGAATGCGTTTCAAGAGGCTGAACTCATACACTGGCGTTAAGTGATGAAAAAGCCAAAATCGCAGTCTTGGCTACTACAGGATACTCACCAGTTTTCCTCATTTTTGCATGGCCAATGCATTTAGTTCCAGTCCCCATAGCAACAACTTCCTTAGTTACTGAAAAGGAAAAAACAACAAAGTTAGCTGAGAGAACCACTTCTAAAAGCATCACCCTCATTTGATCATTTCAGTCACACAGCACATGAGGGCACCACACCAGAGGTGTGGATGAAGTAACACCAACTTCATGCACACACCCCACACGGGGGGGAGGCGGGGGGCACACTACATACCAGACACACTGTGAGGGGAGTATAATCACATGGAGAAAGAGATGGCACATGAAGGGAGGAGCACTGACATGAGGAACTACATGGACAACACAAGATGACCACCAACTCAGGGACTCCCAAATAGGGAAGAGGACATAAAGGAAATGTACCATATAATGCTCAGCACAAAGATGATGCTGATTAAAGATGTAAAACCACCCAGAATAGCTCACCAGTTAAACAGTTTGTTTAACCAGTAAACCACCAGCTGCAGGTGGTAGGGGCCCCTCCTTCTACACCTGCTATAGTCGGGGGGCTGCCTCAGCCCTGCCATAGCACAGGAGGTGGGGGCTGCTCTGGACCCACCATGGCCCTGAGGGCAGGGCCACCGTGGGGAGAGGAGGCTCCAGTTAACTGGGTAGATGGTAAGCATGCCAGGAAGGCATATGCTAACTGGATTACCTTTAAAACCTCAATTTTTTTTAAAAGGAGAACTGCTAAGAAAAAAAATTTGGTTTAGGATCCTTTACTGGATTCTTATGAAGAGTGTGGGTTTGGGCTTTTTATATACAAAATTCAGGTCTTGCCTATTTCACTGTATATGAACTGGTCAGTTTCACATCAGAATGCGTAGTAGAAAAGTCTACATTTAAGCGAGTAGGGATCCTGAATGCCCAAAGAGAGACTTTAAAAGGGTGGGTGCTCAGCACTATCTAAAAAGCAGGCATCTCTAAAAGAGACACTCAAAAAATCATGACTCGCTTAACACTGCAATTTCTCAACAGCTAAAACACTTGCTTCTCGGAACAGTTGACTTTGAACTGCACAGAGGAGAGATTATCTGTAAAAGTAACAGGTTCAGGAAATAACTGTAGCTGAAGTATTGACAAAATTATCTCAGGATCACTTTTGCTTCAACATGATCATGGGAAGAAGAATATTCAGTACTAGAAAGAGGAATGTAACTCACCTAAAAAGTTAGAAGAGAGGAAACTCATCTCAGATTAACTAAATTAAATAACTGTCAGTTATAGAAGGTATGTATATCCCAAACAAAACCGGTGCAGGAAAGCCAAAAATTAAACTAGAGATGTCAATATGCAGATGACTACATGATTAACCGATAAGCCTAGGCCTATCGGTTAATCCTGTCGACTAACACACACACACCCCTTGCTGCCTCTGTATCAGAGGCAGCAAGGGGGTGGGGAGCCGGTGCCCATGAGCTAGCTAGCTCTCCTCGAGCACTGGATCTTATAGGAAAGGCAGCAGCATGGAGGGCGAGAAGGCAGGTGGGAGCTGGTACACGCAGGAAGCCGGCTTTTAACCCAGCTCTTCATGCATGCCAGCTCTGCGGAGCTATCTGCCTCCCTCCCCCTGCTGCCTCCACAGACACAGGGCAGGGGGGGAGGGAGGCTGCCATGCAGCATTCTCTGTGGAGCATTCTCTGTCCTCATGGAGCTTGGAACTCACGTGGCCAGGGGCTCTCTCAGAGGCAGCAGCACAGGGCAGCAGGCGGGAGCTGGTCTGCGCAGAGAGCTAGCTTTTAAACCAGCTCCCCCCTGCCACTTAATGCTGCTGCCTCTGATACAGGCAGGTGGCAGGGAACTCTCCAAGGGTGCAACCAGGAGCACACTGGCTGCCAGCTCCATCCCGGGAACTATTGAATAGTCATGTAACTGCTAAAGTTTGGTGTGGTTATATGACTATGCAATTACACACTAACATCCCTAAATTAGAACATTATGGCAAACTGGCAAGGTTCAAGAAGTTATGTAAATCAAAGCAAGTATCCAACAGAAAATAGAATTCCAGCCAAAGCAAACAGAAGGTAATCACTCCTGTAACTTTCATCTTAATTAAAGATGGAATTGGAAGCTAGAGATGTAATTTAAGTATATCAAAAATAAGAAGCTGTAAGAAAATTGATGGTTCCACTGGATCACCAGATTTAGCTATTACGGGGATAAGGACATCGCAGAAAAGGTATATGTGGCACAATCAGATATGTGGTGTCAAAAGACACACTGATAAATTAGTCAGCAGCACGTACATCCAGGAGTTCAGAAGGAGCTTTAAGATGAAGTGGATGAGCAGCTATCAAAAACATGCACTCATATATGCCGAGGACTGGAAAGTAGCAAATGTCTCTCTGTCCAGCACTAAGAAAGATCCTGGAAGAAAAAGACCAGCAAGTTTTGCTTTAGTACTATGTAATGTGTCTCAGGTGACAGTTACAGAATTATGAAAGACCAAAAGAGAGAATACTAGAGAGAGACAAACAAGCACATTGTCTGTAAAGGAAAACTGGGCCTCTTCAATCTGTGACCACGTCCAGAACACAGAGGACACAGGAGAACATATTGAGATGTCATTAATGAAAATCCCAATGACAATAAACATGGAGAGAAAAAGATAAATTTCTGTCATGGCTAAAAACTGGCTCAGGCATGAAACAACGCAGAAATAAATGGCCCCTTCATCATAGGAAATGGTTAAGAGCAGGCGTACAAGGGTTCACTCCAAGACTAGCACTGAAATATGTCTAACAACGATCTGGAGAAAGGGGAGAGCAGTGATATGGCCACATCCACAATTCCAGCTACCTACTCACCATGTCCAACATTCTCCATATCATCCCTAGTCACTGACAGAAGTTTATCCCTTGCTCCCCTCCTCTAAACCTTCCCCATACAGCAGTAACCCCACCCATCCCCTTCCTGCCTCATGATGACCTTTGCCGGCTCAACCCTTTTGTGCCTCTTGGCTTTTATGGTTGTCCTCTCACAATTCTCCTACCTCTCAGATCACTCCTTCAGTTTATTTTAATTGATCTTTTCCCACTCTCTAAACAGGTCCTATTCTGTCCTTCCTAAGTGGAGCACCTTGCATTTGTCGTTATTAAACTTCCCTGTTTACATTAGACCATTTTTCTAGTCTCTAAAATTCCCCCCTCTTCTCCATTTATAGATTAATAATGGGTTGATGAGCAGATAGAGTTATCTGCCATTTATTTTAATCTATATCTGGCAAAAAAATTGGAGCTGCAAAACTCCATAAAAATGGTAGGTATTCCACTGTGATCCTCTCCCTCTTGCCCTTCGTAGTTATTTGTATTAGACTGCACACTGAGGCAGGAACCATCCCCTCATGTGTATTGCTACAACACCCAGTACAACCATGCTGATTCTTAATTTGTGACACCCTGAACACGGTATTCGTTTCTAGTCACCTCTTCTCAGGAAAAATATAGCAGAACAGAAGAGTTCCAGAGAAAGGCAACAAGGATGACTAGAGTCCTAAGAAGCCTTCAGTATAAGCAGAGATTGCAGAGGTTTGGACTGTTTCATTCACAGAAGGGATATGATAAGTACATATAAAACAGTTAATGGTATAGAGATGGTCAGCTGGAAAAGGACAGGAAGTGATGCTGGCCAGAACGGGTAAACACAAAGGAATAAACTGGGAGATTCTCTCACCCTGGTGAAGCTAGTAAATATGGTGGGGTTGCTAGGACAAAAGAAGCCTTCTCACTGAAGGCACACACTATCTATTCAGCATGATGTGAAGCCTTGGGGGGCCTGTTTGACTCCCTACTTACCCTTGGACGACCAGGTAACATCAGTATCTACAAATGCCATCTTTCACCTCCAGCTACTTGGCCTCGCCTCCCCTTCCACAGCATCTGACTGCAGTGATGCGCACACTTGTCACCTCCAAGCTGGATTACAGAAATTCACTTGTCTGAAGCAGAGTGCAAGAATAGCGGAAAGGCTCCAGCTGATACAAAGTGCAGTTGCTCACATCTTCTGTAATTTAGGGTGCCATGAGAACACTAACTCCATGGCACTGTCCCTAAGTCCATTTCCAATGCCAGTATTAAGTTTTCTTTGAAGATCAAGACCAATTAATTACTCAAGACCAGTTACATTAGAGATCAAATTCCAAACTATAAAATGCCAAGAGAGTTAGGCCAAAGTAGATCATGAAGCCCAGAATAAACCATGTGACAGCCAGGGACAAAGTGTTCTCAATCAAAAAGATGTGGCTAGGGAACTAGCTTCCAGGGGGCACAAGACTGCAGAGTTTGAGCCCTTTCAGAAGTGTTGCAAAACCCTCCTCCTGAAAGACGAGGACACAGCACCAACCATGCCTCCCTACCTGCCACACTCATAGAGCACATGAAAAACTGCCATTCCCTGCAGAGTTTTCAAAATAAGGATGTTGAATATAGATTAATTTACTAGTTGAGTGACAGATGGAATTTCCATCAACTACTTGACTAGTTGATGTACATTCCGAAAGAGGAATGCAGAAGTGGCTAAGAGCCCCAGTGGGTATTCTTGTGCATTTCAAAGTTGGAACTCCACGTGCAGCCCGGGGCCAGTGGGAAGTCCTGCTGCCTCCGGGCTCCATGCAGGTCCTTCCCCCAAGTCTGGAGTCAGTGGGACTTCCCACTGGCTCTGGGCTGCACGCAGCGTGCCACCTTTGAAATGTACAAGAGTCCCTAGTGGGGGCTCTTGCGCATTCCAAAGCGGAAGCGCACGCATGGAGTCTAGAGTCAGTGAGGGACTCAGAGTCCCCTGCTGATCCCAGGCTCCATGCAGACCTGCTGCTTTGAAATGCTGCATGGAGCCCTGGATCAGTTGGGAAGCCCAGACTCCGTGTGGCATTTTTGCAGAATCTGGGGTCAGCTGGGGACCCCGAGTTCCACATGGCATTTCAAAGTGGCAGCGCCACATGGAGCCTGGGATCAGCTGGGGATTCCCCAGCTGACTCCAAGTTCCGCAAAAATGCCACATGGAGCCCGGGGTCAGCGAGGGAGTCCCCAGCTGAACCCAGGGCTCCATGCAGCACTACCCTTTGCGGCATTTCAAAGTGGCGGCACAGCACGGAGCCCGTACCCCAGGCTCTATGCGGTGCTGCTGTTTTGAAGTACTCCCTCTTCTGATAGAGGCAGCAAGGGCGGGAGGGAGCAACTAGTTGACTTGACTATCTGATAAGCAAATGCTTATCGGATAGTCGACTAGTCCTTAACGTCCTTATTTCAAAACCCCAAAAGGAAGAAGAGTAAGACACTCTGTAAATCCCTATTGCCAGTCTATTTTACATGAGAAGTGATCAGACACTACATTAACATGTGCCACACCAAAACCATAGGGCATATAGACAAAGGAAGGGACAGCCTTGTTTGTGCAGATTATGTCACTATTTTTTATTATAGGATTTCTCAGACCTTACTAAGAAGATACTGAGAACTGGCATTGTCAGAGACAGGATACTCAACAAATGAGATGACTGGTCTGATCAGGAACTCCATTTTTCCTGAGAGAAAATAATTTTGCTGAGGAGTCACATCCTTGTCCTTTCAAACATAAGAAAGGCCGTACTAGGTCAGACCTACGGTCCATCCAGCCCAGTATCCTGTCTGCCAACAGTGGCCCATATCAGAAGCCCCAGAGGGAGGGAACACAACAGGTAATCCTCATGTGATCCCTTTCCTGTCACCCATTTCTAGACACACAGAGGCTAGGGACACCATCCCTGTCCATCCTGGTCAATAGCCATTGATGGACTTAACCTCCATGAATCTATCTAGCTCTTTTTTTAACCCTGTTAAAGTCCTAATCTTCACCACATCCTCAAGAAGGCGTTCCATAGGCTGACTGTGTGCTGAGTGAAGAAAAATTTTTTTGTTTTAAAAGAAGAGCTACAAAAGATCTCACTTTACTTCTCAGGGCCCTCTGAGAGAGATCTCCACCAAAGAAGAAAAGAATATTTACCATTCCTGATGTTCCTAGAATAAAAGTTACAGAAATAATTCAAAAGTCTTTACAGGCAAAAAATTGCAGGTTTTTTTTACTTAGAGGTCACCTGTAAATAAACTGGAAGTCATATGCAAATCAGTCCCATCCACTGGACAGTTCAGGACAATTGCCCCAAGCTTTGAGGAGCCTTGTGTTTTATGGGGGCGAGGGGCCCAGCCAGTATGGGGGCCAGCAGCAGAGAAACTGACCCTGCTCTACGAGGACAGGGGGGTGGACTCAGAGCCCGGGCAGCATGGGGGCAACAGCAGAGCAACAGGCCCCACTCAGCTCCACTTCACCAACTCCTAGTCCAGAGTCACTCGGGACAGGAATGGGCAGGGCTGGAGGAAACAGGTAAAGAGGGGGGTAGGTGTCCCTGGCCCATATCCTCCTAGGGACAAATGCATGGCATTTACGGAGAAAGGGAGATTCATTCTCACCCTGCAGATTCTCAGTATTAGGGCAAGCCTCTCTGTCAGGTGCAGACTCCACTTTAACCACAGCTGCCAATAAAGTCCATTCCCGGTTAGGATCTGGCTTCCCCTGCTTAGGAAGCTTGGAGCTATAATGTGTGTAGCACAGACCAGCAACTTCATCAGCTGACCACATGTCTGCAGATGCCACATCAGTTCCTAAACACAACTGGGATACAGCATAAAAAAAGACCAAAATAGCATCACAGGCCACAACCCCATATAACGCCTTCCTACTACCCCACCCCAACCCCCCACCTCATTAGTGTCATCAGTTCCCACCTATACATCAGCATAATACAGCAGAACTTGATTTTTAAGCGGTATTTCAAACAAGTTAGCTCCTTTAGATGTTCCCCAAAGTTCCTGGAGAGATGGAGTCATGAAAAAGAATGTACTGGCCAAAAGATAAGGCACTGGACTGGAAGTCAGGAGACCCAGTTTCTATTCCCAGCTCTGACCTGTCATGCACAATTCACTTCTCCCCTCTATGCCTAATTCCCCTTACCCTCTGTCTACCCAGCACAATGAGGCTTTGATCTATCTCACTTAGGACCTACTGGTGCTAACATAACATTTAAAAAAAATAAAAATTGAAAAATTGTAATTCAAATTCCCTCTTCACCTCTAATCTGTGCCACTCACCTTCTGTCCCTTCCCTCTTCTTTCCATTCATCTTATCTCCTCTTAAGCAAGCCCACCAATATAAAACTAACAAAATAAGATCAACATTGTTCACTTTGCTGTTACATTCTACTTAGTACCTCACTCTGTGTCTGCATGGTCTATTTAGACCAGGAGCTGGCAAAATACAGCCTGAAGGCCATATTCACCCCACCAAACTGCCAGATCGGGCCTGCAATCATCCCATAATCCAGATGGTGCCTCAGGCAGGCTCCCTGCCTTCTCCGCCCCTGCGCTACTCAAAGCAACTGGCTGCACAGTGTTACATTCTACTTAGTACCTCACTCTGTGTCTGCATGGTCTATTTAGACCAGGAGCTGGCAAAATACAGCCTGAAGGCCATATTCACCCCACCAAACTGCCAGATCGGGCCTGCAATCATCCCATAATCCAGATGGTGCCTCAGGCAGGCTCCCTGCCTTCTCCGCCCCTGCGCTACTCAAAGCAACTGGCTGCACAGTAGGAGCCCCTGAGGGGGGCTTAGCATGCTTCCCCTGCCCCCT